AACAAAGACCATTTCGAGTTTCTCTTTCCTCGCCAAACAAAGATTATTATTATAAATATAGGCATAAGTATTAAATAGATAAATAGATATTATATAACCGCTAACCTTTGGGTCAAGGTTCAGCATTGAATAAATAAATAGCTAAAGAAGCTATAAGAGTCTTAGAACTCCCTAATACGAACTTTCAAGGCTTGCAGTGCCTCAGTTCTATCTTTAAATTGGAAAGACCTAGTGCTTATCCTTAACTTCAGTGCTAGACAGAGTCCTCGAGCTCTAGTAAATTCAGTGCTATACAGAGTCCTCGAACTCTCAGTAACTAAGTGCCACCAAGGGTCAGTTGAAACCCGGAACTCTTTTGAACTTTACCTACCTCTGTAGTGCATCACCATGTCTTGGATGGAGAATAAATTAGTTCGTACGTCGCCTTCTCCGACCCCTTCTTCAGATTCTTCGGAACAGGAGGTAGAACGGACGCCGCCGTACGCCGACTCGATCGCCGCATTCTCGGTGGAAAGAGCAGCTGCGGGGTGGTCAGGATACATCGACAACCTTGAGGGGGCGATTCACTTCCCAACTTCTCGGCCAACTGTCGATCCGGACAAACACGTTCCTACTAACTCCCTCCAGGTCCTGAAGGAGGACACTGAAAGGTCCCTGCGGGTACCCCAACGGCCCTTGAGGCGTGACGCGGCTACGCCCTATGCGTTACGACCTGAAGGACGTCCGGAATCCACCCCCGCTACGTCGACCAATCAGGGAAGAGGAGCGATAACGCGACACTAAGTCCTACATATAAAATTGTTTACTTTTATTTATAAGTACGTGAAAATAATTCTTAAAACGTGGGTTAGGGTAACAGAAAACGCATGTTTTACAAACGCTTTTTTTAGTTATTATGTTATTTTATTTGGGTAAATTTAAATGGTAACAATGAATAAACAAAACATCAAGGATTTTATATTTGTGCTTACTTTTGTTCTACATTTTTACTTTTCAAGATTTCAGTATCTAATAATGACAGAAATTTCACCATTTCTCGGCCAGGGATATGGCCACCTTATGTTACATTCAATTCGAATACAGTGCGAGTGCTCGAGTTTCTTTTGCATTAGCCAGCTGCTTCAGCAGGGTATCGAATTCGAATTCGTCCAGTGTCGTTTGCATTCGGTGAGTATGAACGCGCGCCGCGCTGGCGAGCTATTTGAACAAATGACTATTCGAATACTTTCAACAGAATCGAATGCATTCGAGACCTTGGTAGAATCGAATAGTTTTGTAATTTGCATTCGAATAGTCCCAACACTACCGTCAATAATCATAACACACCAAAAAGTTTTGGGCCACATACAGGGTGGTCCGCTAACTATGAGAGAAAATTTAAGAAACATTAGAATGTCAAAAACTAATATCAATTTGCTATACAAACATTATTTCTAAAATGCATTGCTTTCGAGATACAGGGTGTCGAAGTTTTAATTTTTTTGTAAATATTTCTAATATCTCTCAAATGAACAATATTATTAAAAAGGTATTTGATGGAGTTAAATATCTCACAGAGCGCTAAATTCTCCAATTACAAAAGCCGACTGTATAAAAAAGTGGTTAAGCCCTCATAACTGAAACGAAATATCATTATTGTTGAAAATTTTTGTCGTGAAGAGTGTAAAACATTACCTGCATTATAGACTATTACCTAATAAAACTACAACTCAAACTAAAGTAAAATGAAACTAAAGGGATCCATTAACAAAGTATGGTAGGATGCGGCACATTGCAATGCAAAAATTTAACTTTTATATAAATAAATAGAACAGCACAAACCTAGTATGTTACGTCGAAGTTTTTGAGACACAATGTCGAATGATAATTTCACTTCAATGCCACACATGATAATGTGTGGCATTGAAGTGAAATCTAATGCAGTGTCAAATAATAAATAGGGAGATATTGTTAATAATGAATAGTTTTGCCCCTTCTGCATTTTTTTAACACAAAATTAACGCACGTTTTGGAACATTTGTAAATCCTATATTATTCACTTTCCGCAGGCTCAACATGTATATTTGACAAGTGTGATATACTTATTGAAAAGCCAGTTTTGTTATTTGTTGCATATGTCTTGACGATTAACGGTGTTAAACACATGTCGGTTTTCGGTATCATAATAATGAAAATTATGATGATTTACCAGGCCATTATTAGGGAAAGTGGATACATCTGTCAACAGCACAAAATTAAAAAAATCAGGTTCTCCAATTCGCTCAAGAGTCCATAAGCCGAAGTCAATCCGCCGTTGAAAATCCACGCCATACAAATTTTGGTGAAACGATGTGGAAGGGATGGTATTGGTATTTTCGGACTAATCCTAATACTATGAACGCATTTTTTCTTCGTTGTCGGTTACCAGTTTTGATTTCCTCTGCTTGTTGTAGCAGTACTCCAGTAGCTCTAAATCTCGCTAGCAGTCTTTCAAATACCTTTTTGTTTGGATGTACATATTTCATCAGGGTATTTCTGTACGTATATTCTGGAGGTCAGAAAACAATTCTCGTAGCATTCGCTAATAGTACTCATCATATCTACTCTTTCTGTAGTAGAATAAACTTTCGTGTCACTAACTATAACTCATGCTACTATGACATAGCCCAATTAAAAATCTCCGATATAACTAATGTTTCACATTTTGTTAACTCGAGGTTAATGACAAAAATAGTTAAAAAAAAATCAGGGCATTTTAACAGTATTTTCAGGATATGCACAATTATACACCTCGGAAGTCGATACTGACAGTAACAAATGTGACGATACTATTCTTTTTTTTAAACAAAACATTTTTATAAAGATCTAAATTAATGTTTGTGTGTAATTTTTTTATGAAATTTCAAAAAACAATTTTCATCTTATCCTGGAGCGGCTGTGACAATTGTCAAATCTGTAATGAACAGGATGTTTTAGGTCATCACTCGTAGGGCAATGATTGAAACCGTCGTATCTTTTATCAATACAAAGCCTTGGTGCTGAAGTTTTTCTCTTTGCTGGTGGTTCGTTTTCTTCATTCATGGTTTGCTTCTTCAGCTGTTCACAATAGCTAAGACAAACAAGTGTAGAATTACTCTGAAGGTCCACTTGCCTGACAGGGCATCTACCAAGAAATGGTATCATCTGTTCGTCTATCCAAAAAGATGTCTTTGGTTTCCTCTTAATCAAGCGACACCTATTGCTAACTAAATCGATCATTGACTGAACTTCCCACAGTTGATTTTTTTTAGTGTCATCGTCCAAGGCCAAATTGTCCACGATGTGAAAGTTTACACGTAACAAGTAAAATCTGTCACGATTAATAATATTGGAAACAAGAGGAAATTGAAATTTACTGTTCCAGTAAATATGAATTCGTGGAAAATGCAAACAACCCATAATTGCATGCATTCCAAAAAACTTTTTTATCCCTTCTGGTGTAACAGTCAGAAGTTTTCATGTTTTTTGTAAATAGTACAGTCCCCATTTTAAAAAAGTCGTCATTTAAATATTTTTGGAAATATTGCCAGGGAGTTAGCATTTCACTTTGATTGACGTATTCATCCACAGGATCATCTTTGCTTTTAAAATTACCTTGTTTCCAGTGAAGTTTTGCAAATCTAGCTAAAGGAATTATCAATCTTGCGTCCATTTCTAAAGTAGGACTCTATGATAAACACTTTTTGTTCTTGAGAAAACACTTTTTGTTCTTGAGAAAACACCATTTTAAACGCTTTTTAAAACGAAAATATTCAAATTGATAGCGGCGATATAGCGCTTTGACAGATGACGCTACAGTTCATTTGCTATACGCTACGCCCTACGTCCAAATTTTCAGAACCAACTTGACCACGTTTTTATTTGAACGCTCGTTATAAATAAATATTATAATTACAGTTTCATACTAAAGTTAAAGTGTGTGCATAATGCTTCCTGAACACTATTCAAACTTTATATCAAATTTGACAACAGAGATAGTTTACAAAATGCAAAGAAAAAGAATTGCAGTAGTATTGGGTTTTATTTTGGTTTTGAAAAGCAAACAAAGAAATTATACAAAAAAAAAATATTGGGTTGCTCCAATTTTTAAAGAGAGAAAAAGTCATAGTTTTTATCATGCTGTCTTGCCTAAACTTATGCTAGAAGATCTACGGTTTCAGAATTACATCAGAATGTCAGCCACACAATTTGAAAATTTATTAGTTTTAATTGGCCCAGACATCTTTAAACTAGTTTGCGTTAGAGAACCCATTGAAGTTGCTGAGCGCTTGATGTTGACTCTAAGGTAAATAAGTAAATATTAGATAATTAATGATTAACTACAAAAAATGTTGCTATATGAAAATTGTTAACTCGATTTCTGGCTTCGGGAGATTCAATTAGATCAATGTCATCAATATTTAGTTGGTGTAACGACTGCAGCTAATATTATATCTGAAACGTGTCAAGCGTTGTGGGATAATTTGATGCCACGTGTATTAACAATGGACTTAAGTAATGAAAATTGGCAAAAAAGACTGAATGTTTTTTTTCAAAATGGAATTTTCCTAATTGTGTTGGTGCAATTGATGGAAAGCACATAATTAATAGTATAATAATTATAATCTTGGCATCAAAGATAGTATAAAACTAATAAATTTTTTGTTACAGTGCCCAGCTAAAGCCGATTCATCCTTCTATAATTATAAAGGAACCAATAGTATTGTTCTTCTAGCCATATGTGATGGCAATTATATGTATACATTTATAGATATAGGAGCTTATGGAAGAAGGAGCGATGGGGGAATTTTTAAGGAGTCAGAAATGGGCCAAAAATTTGAAAGTGGTGAAATGAAACTTCCACCACCTGCATCTCCATATGGATCCGATGCAACTCTTCCATATTGCATCGTTGGTGACGAAGCTTTTCCTCTCAAACCCTATTTAATGAGACCGTATCTAGGCAAGACAAGGGTTGAACACGATAGACGAGTATTTAATTATAGATTAAGAAGAGCAAGAAGAGTAATAGAAAACACTTTCGGAATTATGGTTAGCAGGTGGAGAATTTTTAGGAAACCAATCATCATGCCTGTAGAGCACAGCATGCTCATTGTTCAAGCAGCAGTATGTTTACATAATTTTTTGAGATTGTCAGACTTGAATGATGAAGAAGATGTCAAATATATAACGCCTGGTTCTATTGATTATGAGAATGAAAATAATGTACTAATGCCAGGCTCTTGGAGAGCTGAACCCCAAAATGGCACTGCTTTTGCAGAAATAACTAGATGTGGAAATAACTCGAGTACCAAAGAGGCATACGCAATCAGAGAGATATTGATTTTAATAATGAAGGAGCTTTAGAATGGCAAGAAAAATATCTGTAACAACAATCAGTGCCGTAAAATATAATTTATTTACTTCAATTGTAATAATGTAAATAAAATATTTATTTATTTATTTATTTATTTATATATTTATAGTTTTTATAATAAAATAAAGAAAAATAATAACATACAATTTCAAGAAAATATCTATTAATTTTTACACTTTTTTTACACTTACTGATATAATATTGTATAATACAAACAGTATGTTTGCGCGCTAAAATAAATAAAACAATAAATAAAATATTTTTTACAAATACACCGTACATTTTGACGGTGTCCACGCAACCATGATAAATACTCTTACTAATAGAATACCGTATAATAAAAATAGTATTTGAACATGATAAAATAAATAAAAGAATAAATACAATATTTTATACAAACATAGCATAAAATTTTAATTTAAATCATTTTCAATTTTGAAGATAATTTCTTGAACCTTAAACATAGCTAATCTAGCTTTCTTTAAATCCAGTTTATGCAATTTTTCATCCATTGCAGAACAAAAGTGATTTATCTCATCTTTTTTGGCAGCTGGAGATGCAGGTATTGGTGGGAAATTGATCGGAGGCATCTGAATGGGTGCAGTAAGAGCAGCAGCGAGTTTTTCTATTGAGTCATCCTGTTTTTGCTTCTTTGGCGTAGGTTTATTTAGGCTGGCATCCAATGATTCTGAATCCGAATCTTGAAGAACAGAATCATCCACTGCATCCTTTGGCAAATTACTAATAGTCCAACCTACTAACCTCCAAGGTTTCCTTGGCTTCGCTGATTGTCCACTTTTGGTCTTTTTTTTTGCTATATAAGATCGGTATGTATCGTACAAATTTTTCCACTTACTCTTTAAAAATGTCACTGTGTGCTCCAGATTTTCCAAATTTGGATTGATAATTGATTCGATTTCCAACCACAATTTATTTTTAGCTGCGTTTGTCCTCTGTCCCGGGGTACAATCTTTGTAATTCCAGAGTGGTGGTCGTTCCTGCACAGCAGCTATGAGCATTTCTTCAATAGTATCATATTCCATAGCATTATTCTTCGACGTTGTTGTAGTACTGCTTTCTGTTTGATTTCTTAAGTTGCAGTTATTTTCTTTATTACTGCTGTCACTCGGCAATTGCCGATTATATTCTTGCAACTTTGCGTATGAATCAATCGCTATGCCATCTGTAAAAAAAATAATGTATACATTGAATATATTTCAATGGCCATGTTTATTTAAAGGCTTGCGCCACCTTATAAAAAGATTTGTTAAAATTAAATGTTAAAAATAATATTCCATAGAAAATATATTTATATTTTACTTTTGTAGTAATATGTATCATTTTTATGCAAAAATTATTCATATCTCTTGCTTCCTTCGAGAACTTAAAACAGCTATTTCACTATTTCATAAATGATAAATTCTCTTGCTACACGGTTTACAGCTTTTGTAATTTATTTCATTTTGAGCTGTAAATCCTGATATATATATATAAATTTAGAAATTTAGTTTTATTAAAATGCAAAAAACTGATAATTATTGATTATTTATTTAAATGTATTACTTTTTATAATTTTTCATAAAATTTTTTCATAAAATGCAAAAATTTTAAGGTCTCTAGTAACATAATCCATCAATTTTTTAAACCTATTGGTTACGCAAAGCGAAAATGGTAAAATAGTTATTTTGAATTATTGGAGGAACCAAAAGAGCTCAATGAATGATTTTTCCATAAGGTCTTAACCTTACTATAATAAATTATATACTTTATTTACTTTAAGTTTTATAGTATTATGTACCATTTTTAATGAAAAAATTATGCATTTAGGTTTTTATGGCTCCTGATAAGATGTCCTAATGATATAGAATATATATATCCATATTATACCTGAATATCCATATTATACCTGATGATTGTGGATAAAACGTAGACGATCCATCTATTAATAAAATCAATTGAAATCCTTTCATGCAAGGTTCATGTGCCGAAATTTCGTTGAAATATAAATAAATTGTTGCACAGACCGCACGTATACAATGTTTGATTCTGTAAACACTTAAAAGTAAATAGGTTATATTTTCAGTGAAACAATTAGAAATAAATACTAAATTACGAAATTACATTATACGAAATAATTTACTTTACTTCTAGATCTTCTGAATTATTCGCCAAATTATCCATTGTTAATAATAATTTATACAAATTATATACCAGAAAGGTAACGGTTTTGCGAATACTCGCAGAAAGCTGAAATAATCCAGCTAGTAGCGAACACTCGCACTTACTCGCAGAAGTACCACGTGACCTCTATTCGCAGCGAATAATTCGCTGCATGAATTTGAGGCTTTATTCCATCAAATACTAACTAATCTTTGGCGGGAAATTTGAATATATTGAAATAAATATAACCGATTACGATACGTGTTTAATTATTTACGTATATATACAAGTTAGACATTCATTTTTAAATAATAATTTACCATACTTTTTTATATTTATTGTTTATATTACTTTTCTACTTTTGAAAATGATTACGTTATTAAATATACCTGGATATTCTTGATAATTTTTACTTCAAATGCATATACTTATATGTACTTTGAAGAGGTACATCAAATATTGACAGTTTTAATATTGTATAGAATATTGAAATGCTCAGACGGAAGCATCTCTCTGACTTTGGAGAAACTAAATGAAGATACTTTTTGTATCGTAAGGAATGTAATATGGGTTTCTAAGAAATACAAATATAATAATAATACTTTATTAGCCCACCTAAAATACATTAATAATTACAAATAAAAATATAATAAAATTACAATGAGTATAATATACAAAAGTGACCAGTGACTATCTAAAATGATTGCTCACTTTTTGCATGAATAATTGTGATCAAATTTTGAATGAATATTAATGACTTTGTTGCTCCCTTTCTGAAAGCTTTCACTTATAATGTCGCGTTCTTCTTTAGAACTTGTTTTTTATTTTAATGTTTCGTAGAAAAGAATCTCGACTGTGATTTAATATTTCCGGCATTACTCATATCTTTTGGAATAAAAGACGATGATTGAAATTCTGCAATTATTTTGTCAACACCCTTCAAAATTTGCTGCGTTTCTACTTAATTCTGCCAACATATTAAATTTTAGTTGAAACTAGTTTTTCTGACATCTAATACACTACCAAATAATAAAATTTAAGTAGCCGCACTTACAATTTATATGTGGTTATACTAATAAAATAATAGTAATTTATCACACATAACTAATAACTACTTTATTTAAAGCTAACATACTTACCCTTGTTTTTTTGATGGAGAATCCATATTCAACTTTTCTTCTTTTAATTTATAGCGTTAAAAAATAAAATGTAATAGCAAGTTCTCACGTTTTCAACTTTTCAGGTTATGAACACAAATTTGACGGAATAAAACTAGTGGTATGCCGAGTGACATTTAGACAAACGTAAATTAACACTTAACCTAAGAGCAGATTTTATGCAAAGCACGTGCTGGTAATGCTACTAATTAATGAAGTAGGGTTTGTTTATATAATTTCACCTATTGAACAACTAATAAACACATTTAAGTAAAAAGTTGAATACTTACTATTGGCTGACATTTTATCAACTACAAGCATTCACATACACCCTGCATCCATGAAAACAAATGAGGAAAGAAAGCCGCAATGCACTGCAGGCATCCAGTAATAGGTACTTGTAACAATCGAACGGTACAAGCACATTAAACGTTCATTCTGTCCTTTATGGGAAAGAAAAATAAGGCAGTCACAATTATGACCTCTTGGAGCGTAAGGGATAGGACAAAATATTTCAACAAAACTCGAGATAAGTGTTATACGATTAGTGCAACTAAAATGTCAAATGGCGCAAACCACATTAACAAATTTTGTTTGTCACCAGAAAATTCGATAAAAAACGGAACGGCACATATTTCCAATACCGTTAGAGATAGGGAACCTATACACAATTTAAAAGAGTTTTAAATTTCCTAACTCGCAGAGTAAAAATATTCACAACCAAGTTATTGTTGTTTAAAGTTGAGAGAAGTATCCAGCAGTTTTTTGAACAACCTGTAGGATACTAAGTGATGACAAATATAATAATTTATAACTCCAAGGATCTAAAATGCACTCTCCAAAGCTGCTCCCTTAAAATAATTTTTTTAGTACTAATAAATTTCTACACTAAGCCTGCATTTTCACCAAAATTGAAAAATCTCACAAACACTAAGTCCTAAGTATGCAGAACCTTTAATAAAGTTCACCTATTTTTCACGGTGCTTTCAAAAATGCAGTAAAATACAGGGTGTTCCATTTAAAAATACACAACTTTGATATGATACGCTTTTTATCCCTTAGGGTTTTGAAATTACTATGGAAAATACCAAGAATTGTTGTATTTATAAAATGGTATATACGAAGTGTAGAAAAATTTTAGGTACATATTTGCCAATAATATTTATGGTCGGTAATGAGAGAGAGGTACACTGATGGGCATCTTAAAGTCCCCACTAGTTGGGTCGCTCTCGTTCTCTCGCGCCCCACCACAAATAATTAGATATGTTTCGGACTGGGAGTGTTGTTTGGAAATGTACACCGTGGCACCAAAAACTGTTGTATTCAATAGGGTGAATAATAATTAATCCGATAACAGTTGCATTTGATATTTTAAAATATATTATTTTATTAATGATACGTATGTAACATTCCTAGTTAGTTAAATAAGAATATTGAAGATTTTTTTAAAATAAAATGTTAAAAACCATTTACTTTTTTAATCATTATTCGCAACATTCAATACCTGCATATTTAAAGTTTTTTTTTCCTTTACTAGGGATATTCATACAGGGCGGCCCAATAGTGATAATATTACTCATATGCCATACGGATAGAAAATAATTTTAGGCGCCATAAGGGGGACGTTTTAAAAATGTTATGAAGTATGCGGGGTGTTTCCGAAGGCCGCGTCAAACATGGTTTTTAAACGCAATAACCCGATTTTTTATATTTCATATTTTAATCATGATAATGAAATAATGATGAAACAGTAAACAATCTTCATTTTG